ATTTTAATAGGGTACGCGCCATTAGGGCTTTTTGCGCTAAAGGATGAACAGGTACTGGTTTCTGTGAATAAGCCATTATACCACCAGACTGCAATAGTGGGTACATTTGATGGTATATATTACATCTCAAAAAAAAAAAAAAAAAAAAAAAATATATCCAGCTAACAAGAAAAAAAAAATGCCAATCTCACTAAAGAAAAAAAGAAAAAAGCTAGACAATCGTTCTAGATCAGAGACTAAGAGACAGGACAACTAAGCACAATGCATAACCCCTGGGTTGGGGGAAACCAAAGTAGCCATACAGAACATTATCGGGACAACAGAAACTCTGAATGTGGACTGTATATTAGATACTAAGCCTATACCAAGGTTAAATCTCCTGAGTGTGATAATTATATTGTAGCTATGTAGGAGAACGCGCTTGTTCTTAGGCAATACTTACTGTAGTATTCAGGAATAAAGTGTCATGATTTCTGTAAGAAATTCTCCAATGGTTCAGAAAATACATTACAACTACAAATGTGTGTGTAATAGAAAGAAAATAGGCAAATGTGGCAGAATGTTAATAACTGGTAAGTCTGAATAAAAAGGTCTATGAGTATTCACTGTATTATTTTTGCCACTTTTCTGTAGGTTTGAAATTTCAAAAATAAAAACTTTAGGGAAAAGTACACTTTTTAAAAAGGCAAATAAAGAATAAATAAAACAAATCCAACATTCTTTTACTCTTTGATTAGTATAAAGTTTTCCTACTAGAGAATGACTACTTGTAAGACTTTTCTAAACCATCCCCTGAATGGGGCTAGGCTTGGCAAATAACTCAATGTACACTGCCTACCCTTCCTAATGGTTTAATGTAGGTGATGTCAACTTACAGTGAGTGGCCCCAGACTTGAAAGATACCCAGGAAAAGGTGTCAGCTCATGGTCCTACTCTGCAGGATTGGAACCACTACCTCCTGCATTTCTGAATCCTTGCAAAACTATCTGAAAAGGAGAATAAAGATAAGAGTTTCTCTGGCCAAATTGTGAACCCAAAGCAATAACCTCGACTCAACATAAGGTAAGGACAGTTCTTCAGCCTTTCAGAGGAATTCCAAACTTATTTGTTCCATTAAGATAGGAAGAGAAAAGAGTCTTGGCCAAACCTATTAATACGGAGATTACTAGAAGGAAAAACAAGAGAAAAACAAAGTCCCTTAATGAAATGAAATTTGATACTTACCTAATGTGGATCTGGGTATGCTGGCATCCTCTTTGGCAGTCAGTGAAGTGCTACCATCTCTGGAAAGTATCTGCATTGAACCCTAAAAAACTGGAAAAGTCGGGGGACTTAGGAAGATGCAGGAACTATGATCACAATGACAGTACTGAGAATATTCTGAGATTTTGGTATTAAAATGATCAAACCTACACCTCAAATGTAAAAAGGAAATGGAATCAGCATGAATTATCTAAGTCTATAGTTCTTACTTGATCAGTCTTTTCTCCAAGAGCAGGGGCCAATGTAGGTAACTTCAGCTTATTGGTTAGAGTTAGGTACTTGGGACATCAGGAAGTCTCTCCCTCCTAAATATTGGCGCAGGTCCTGTAATTCTGAATTTCTTTCCATTAAGGCTTGCACCATCTTCTCTCTTCTCAAAAAAAAAAAAGGAATTTACTTCTTAAATATTGTGAAATTAATATACCCCATACTATTATGAGATTCTTTATTCTCACCATGACCTCTGAAAAATGTAATCTTTTTTTCCTCTTAAGATAACTCAGATTTTAAATGATCAGATTATTAAGGCAAAGAAAATGTATGTAATGAAGTTAATGGATACATGTATTGTTTAGGCACCCTTCCAAATGCAAGGTTTTCAAGAAATGTTTCATACTTTGATGATTAATGTAAAACTGTGGTCTCAGGTCAGGCACAGCAGCTTACACCTATAATCCCAGCACTTTGGGAAGCCAAGGCAGGATGATTGCTTGAGCCCAGGAGTTCGAGACCAGCCTGCACAACACAGCAAGACCCCCACCTCTAAATAAGTAAGTAAATAAATAAAACTGTGGTCTAGGTAATAAATAGAAGGAAAGAAACTAACAGAGTTGACTGTAAAATATATAAATACACACACATCTATAGTCTGCAAATGTTTCCTATTTGCAGACTATAAATGCACTACATGATACTTTTCTGATCTGTGCATTAATCCTTACTTGGCTTTCCTGCTCCCTGGTGCTCATAGACTGAAGCAGGCCTTGAATCTCCATTTCATGTTCCACCACTAGTTTGTTTCGATCACTTAGAAGGTCCTGCAGCATCCTTTCCTTTCGCTGTAGA